CAATAAAAGCACACCTCTCTTCGAAACTTCATAATTCGACCCCGCTCCTTCCTCTTCACACAATCTCTTCCTCATTCGCCAATCCCTCTCGTGTCGTATAGCTAATCCTCCCTTTTAATTACAGAACTACTCAACCTCACAACTAGCTCTAAAATGAATGCTCAAACGTTAATTGCGAAAATCCACAAGGCACTCCTCGAAGACGATTACAAAATGAGACATCAAAGCTACTACGGAAAAGCGCCCCGCGATATGTGGAAAACACAACCGAAGTCCAACATCCTCCGTCTCAGCTCGATAATGGAAATAATTCACGACGACAGATGTCACAGGATTCCCGCAGAACTCATGAACAGCTCGCTGCCTGACATTCTGGAAATAGCCATTCGAGCCTTCGACGGACATACCGGAACCTATCTGGACGAAATGAATACAATAACGCTACTACCGGTCCCCATCAGTAAGCATTTCTGTTATTGCGATGCCTGCCCCGTAGGAACGACGGTGCTCAACCATGCATATGAGGCCTTCTCCGAATTGCCAAAAAGACGAGATGCCTCGGTAGCGAAGCTTGGACAACAAGGCAATGAAGTATTCTTAACCATGGAGCAAATATGGCTGCTGATCCCCCTGGACACCACCTTTACCGAAGAAGAGGAACAAACGACAGCGAAAAGACCAGAGGGGAAAAGATATATAAGACGCCCCCGGGTACAACTACCCAACGACAACAAAGAGTACTCGTCGGATAACACCTACTACACGTACTCCTCTTCAGATTCTCTGCCATATCAGCCCAACTATCACCCTCACTTCCAAATACACCGATGCGAATCTCTAACGGATTGCTGTGCCGACTGCCACCGCTACTACGGCCTCGACAACTATGACAGCGATTTCTAGACGATTATTGAGGGCAGCAGACAATATAACAAAGGTAATCTTAAACTAGTTCTAAAACCCGAGCAGGGCTGACTACTGAGAAAACATTACTTGCATACGTTCTCCTATCACACATATGCAGCCACAATCATGATTATCCCAAATGAACTCCTAGGATAGCTCTCGAGTCAAATTACCAATTTTAACCAACGTACAAGTCCTACTTGTGTCATACTCGAATATCAGTCTCTCATCTAATAGCTAGCTTCCGAAACAATGCAACAATTACTTTTTATACGACCTTATACATTGCCGAATTTATATTCTCAAAAAAATTTAGTTCCGCTTTGCCATCTTGCGACCGTAGTCCGCCGTTCCTCGAAGCCAGCCTCGTTACACATGCCTCGCCACGCGCCATTAATCAGCAGCGCGAAAAAGATCGCAGGTCAAGTCGCCGCGAGCTCATTAGTCTTGCTGCCGACCACCCAGTTTTTGGCCGACCAGCCTACGCGGAAGCTCGCTTCTCAGAAATCTCATTAGTCTTGTAAAGACCAACTCGGCCAGTCACGGGGAAGAGGCAAAGATCGTCCACACGCTTAAGCCAGCTGCCCTGCGTAGTAATTCTGAGAAAGGCTAAGAACCAGGGAAGACACGCCCCAGCCGTACGATATATATACACTCGTCAGTTCACTCACGGTCCATAGTTGCCAGAGCACCCACTCCGACAGCTTGCTACTTCAGCATTACCATTGCCTACCTCGCATTCTCAACTACCGTTATCCAACTATCAATCTATTCATTCAACAGCCATCCAACTCAGCCACTGAAGTAAGTCTCAGAACACTTACACTCAACATACCTTCGCCAAAATAAGAAGAGAACTTTCGCCTTATCCGTTCTCTTGTGTAGAGTGTTGTTGAGAACTTAGCCTTGTTACTCTCTATCCATCTTCAAAGAGGAAAAATCAGACTCCCTAACTCCCCTTGGAAAAAAAATATACACACACGCACATTAGTTACTGACACTTAGGAAAACATTTTGACTGATCACCAAAATTCCTCCCAAGGAACAGAAACCCAAAGTACGTGAAGAATTAAGTAGATCCGAAAGGCTCAAAAGATTTGACGGAAGAAGAGCAGCATTTCTCGCAAGACTCGCTGAGCGTAGACAGCAGCAATCATCTGCAAAAGCGGAGGAAACTCCAACAACTTCTAGACGTAGAGTAGAACCTAGCGACAAACCTTCCACTAGCACAGTAGACCCGCGCGACTTACCGTCCACTAGTCAAGAAGAATTTGCTAGCGACCAAGCTAGCGAAGTAGGAACAAGCGAACAGCCTTCAACCAGCCAGACAATATCTGGTTACGTAACCCCATCGAACAAGCGAACAGCCTTCAACCAGCCAGACAATATCTGGTTACGTAACCCCAGCGACAACCCTAGCAACACTAGAGATCTAGCTCTCATTCTATCATTACAGCCCCCTAAAACGATAGAAAGCGCGCGCTTGTCAAATATATTGTGACGACCGTAACGTAACGCTCGCAAAACTGGGAAAAGAACGCAAAACCCCGCGTATAACGCAATCTAACGTAGATCGTCCTTCTACTAGCGAATTAGAACCCCCGGAAGATTTTGAATACCATTCCGTAGACGAAAGCAATCCCAACTTCTCTCTCGACGTAATTAACGAACTTCGAGCCGTAATCAGAGACTTTCAAGACCGGAAAAAGGCAGCAAAGGAGCGAGAACGACGTGCCAACATGCCCAGCGCTAGCGTACAAACCAATGCGAACGCACCTGTATTCGAACACCTCGAAATTTCTCAGCCAAATTTATATGCCTCAAGCAAACTTCTAGGGACCCGCTTAGAAAGATTTACCGGCGACGGTGAGAAAACATTTGAAGAATTTCTCGACGACTACAAAGAATTGGTAGATAGCCTACATATTCCCCACGCATACGCGAAAAGTCTACTCCCCCTATTTCTAGGAGGTGGAGCTAAGGTGAAACTCCAAACCCTAACAGACCAAGAAAAGGAAACCTGGGATTCTATGGTTTTGGCCCTAGCTAAAAAGTTCAAAAACGAAGCAATGCTCAGTAACGTCCGCGACGAATTACACCATCTTAGACAAGGAAAGGATTCCGTAGGAACGTTTGCGAAAAAGATCCTAGCAAAAACTAAAGTAGCGTACCAAGGTGAGGACAAGACGATTCCTAACAAATTAGCCATCGACTTTTTCATCAAAGGTCTAAGGCCCGACATCCGCAGAGCAATTCGCAGACTCCCGGATCCTAAAGACTTTGAAACCGCACTCGCAAATGCTGAAAAGGAGCAAAGAATTCTTGAACAGGAATATCGCGAAGAAAAAGAGATCCTGGAAAGCATAAATAATTTGGTGTTAGATGCAAAAGTGGACGAATTAACTAGCCAAGTAAACAGCCTTCAGCAGTCAAGTGGAAATCCCTCAAATAGAAATCGACCTAGAAGTCCATCACGAGAACGCCCTCGCCCGGTAGTGCGATTTCAACCTACTCCGCGCCAAAACCCCAATTTCCAGCAAAGACGAACAGTAACACCGTATCGTCCCAGACCAGCATTACAATTCAATCCTCCGCGCCAGTTACGTTTCGTTCCTAGAAGATTATTTCCAAATCCTCGATTTTGGGACCGCCGCCCAACTAACACGCCATTCCGATACTTCAACCAGCCCTACACACCATATCCTGCATACACTCAGCCAATACCCTACGTAAATCCCAATCAACCTTTCGCCCCAGCCATAGCGAACCCCCCGGCCTACTATCAAAACTATCAGCCATCAAACCGACTTCCTGCACCTGCGCAGAATGTTAACTTCCTCTGCATAATCGTCATCATAGCAGCATGTCTGCTAACACCTACAACATCTTTCCAGATATGCGGAAGTAGTTCATTCCCTAATATACTCTCACTGCCCAAATTAGTGCAATGCAGCGTAACCCCAGAAGAGCCTATGATTGAAACACAAATACAGTTATTTGGCGAAAGCAACAAACCTTTACAAATGACTGCCCACAAATGCTATCGAGACGTACTAAAAGTCTCTATACACAATTTCCTCTACATGAGAACCAGCCGCACCGTAGTAGGACGCCAGCGCCTATCCATCTCACGTGAAGAATGCGAATTAGCAAGGACCACCAATTCCATCCATGGACACCCTCTCACCGAAGTTTCTCCTGGTCTCAAAATAACCAAAGAGATAGAGGACGAAAAAACGTCTCTCCCTCTTTGGGGAACAAACCTGTACTTGCGTAGTCTATATTCAATCGAGGAAGGACAGATTGCCTCCATAAACGGCGAAACTATGCTTAGCACCCTGGGCAATCTGAACAACTGTTCCTTCCTCGACGGTAGCTGTCTAACACCCAACGAGATAATAATCTGGAAATCCGTAGAAGTTGTTCCATGGTGTAGATTCAATTCCATAGGTAGCTACGATGCATTGGTCAGCATGAAATATATCCTCATACCTGAACACGAGCTAGCATTCGAATTCAGTAGTGACCACCTACTCCGCTCGCAACTATTACGACATTGTAGTATCAGTAACAGCTATCTGACCACATCGAATCACATCATCTCCTTCCCGAATATTCCACCCAATACCATGGTCCAGGATTTTATTTTGGAATCCTCACCAACGTTCAAAACGAAGCGTGAAGTTAAATACCTCGTTGACACCGAAAACAGACAATCACGCTACGAACTGATACCGGCACAAACTCTTCCGATAGCTCAAAGGATCTTCGGTATCACAGATACCCAGGGGACACCACCATTTGAGGCTCAACCAATTACCGATGTTCTTCTACTAAGAGAAATCAAACTTTGGAACATTACCAACGCCGATTTCCTCCGCAGAGCCCGCATGTATGCCATCGAAGACATACGTAAGAACGTCCTTCGTACCATACGATACGCCGAATATCGGTACCGCCAGATAGCCTGGCTACAAGCCATTGAGACCAAAAGACCCCTAAACTACGCCGAGCACGCACTACTCCAAGACCTGCAACTCGGTATCACCGATGTGTTCGACGACTACCTATCACAAGAATTTGGGAAAATACAGATGGAAATTGACATGGACCCAATCAAACTTAAAAGTAAGCCTGCGCCATTCTTCCGAATGGAAGACTTGAGTAAGGTGAATGTCACCAATCAGATAGAAGCGGACCCATACGCACAAACAGAGCGATCAACTACCAGCACTTCTACTAACCAGTCCACAACGAAACCTCCGCCATCAACCACGACATTCCCAGCCACCAACCCGCCACCCAAGAAGACTGCAACCACAGCGATGACCCCAAGGCCTACAATTACACCCCCTGCCGTGACCAGGCCGCCTGTGGTTATACCATCTTACGTGCAGAGCATCTCTAAAGCAAAATCACTGGATCCCATTGAACTTCACATAACAACCATAACCACACCTACTACTACCCCGGCGACACAGCCAAGGATAACAACAACCCCTGTTCGCACTACAACCGTACGTCCTACGACGAAAATCACTGCCCCTTCATATACCATAACCACTACAACGTCCACCACAACCGCACCTACAACACCGACCACGACTGCGTCTCGGAATGTTCCCTCTCCAGCGCCAACTACCACCACACTGCGGACCGTTCCTTCCACAACCCCCTTCATCACCTCAACCAAATCAACAATTACTATCCCCGCAAGCATGGCTACAGTCTTGCAGACCATCCCCACCCCCATCAAGCCTATTATAAGTTACGAGAAACTAATTCCACTACCTCCTTCAGTTTACAACAATTTACCTCCACACAGGCACATCAAACGGACCAACAATCTCCTCACATCGCCAACAAGCGACGATCACTTTGATCCCATCACAATACGGCGTAATTTCAACAGCATATGCGTGAGACAATTCTTGAATAACCAAAAGATCCACGAACTCAGTCGCGCTGACCCCACTTGGGCAGCCAGAACACTACTGAGAACTTCCGACATCGTGGCCACCCTGTCCGACGATGAACTTCTAGTTTCAAGATGCAGAAAAATCGAACCAAGCGAAGTATACTCCAACCACCAAATCAACGAAACCTGTTACCAACTACTACCTGTTCTCGTTGAAGACCAAATATGGTTCTCCGTCCCAGGAACAGGAGATTTGATTCGCACATCATCGGAAACCCCATGTCCATACATAAACAATCTGAATGGACAAGTGCAGCCTATGCTGCCTCCAAACATGTTCTTTAATGAAAACGCACAACCTTTTCTCTTCAACTCACCACCCATTTATCATCACATAATGCAAAACTATGCACCGACAATAAGACACCAAATCGACGCATTACAACAAGAGTACGCAGCAATGCAGAACCGCTTACAAAAACGAGGAATCATAGATGATGCTCTACTCAAAATCAACGATGTCAAGAACTCAATAGGCGAATCTCTTTCATCAATCTATGACAAAACCACTAACAAACTCACCGAAGGGATAGAAAATGTAAGATGGTCCCTTATATCCATATTATTATGGGTAACCGTACCAACCCTAACACTGATAATTTTAGTTGCTAGCTGCGTCTGCTGCGTGAAATTGTACTTTATACGAAAAGCATCTAACACGGCCGCTTCAGCTATGTTTGAACTAGCAAGCAATTTCACAACCAAAAAACGCGCCAGAAGCCGACCAGAAGTCAATGCACTCCTAGTAAAAGTACCCCCACAAGAACCTCTTTACGTACCACGCATCTACGCAATACCGTTTTTGAACAATCACACTACAAATCCCTTACCATACGTCAGGATAACCTTAAATCACCTCTCGACACCCGCTCTAATTGACAGTGGCGCCACCATTTCCTATATGAAACAATCCACTCTTTACGCCCTAGGACCAAACATTCAAGTTGATAACAACCACGTCAAAGCACAAGCAGCCAACGGTTCACCTATAGAACTTTTAGGTTCAATAAGCGTGAACGTAAACATAGGAACTCATACCGTACCTCATCGCTTCTTAGTGTCACATGACCATCAATGTCCCGCTCCAGTCCTTCTTGGTACAGACTTTATCAAAAAGTTAAACCAATCAGGTCTAAAAGTTACTATCGACCTACACAATAATGTCCTCACGATAGGTTCAGATGCACACAACATGATACAAATAAATGCCATCAATTTCTTAGAAGTAAAGCCGCATGTTGTACGCCTTTTACACACTACAATTCTTCCTAAAAGATCCTCCTCTATCGTGCCAGCTTTTGTTGACAACTACTCACCTAATAACCCGTTTGACTTCATCGTAGAAGACAATCAAAGAGACATGGACCTTTTGTACGCGGTAGGTAGATCTCTTGTCCGCCCATCAACCGACGGAATCTGCCTCATAAGCATACTCAACCCCTCCTACACCGACATCAAATTGTACGAACGAATGAGAGTAGCATACGCCAGCCCTATATCTTCCCCGGTAGAGCAAATACTTGCCGTGCAAAGTGAATACATCCCTCCTGAAGCAAACTGGGAAGAAAGAATACCTCACTTTCCAACTCAGCCAGAAGCCAACTACGACATAACGAAAGAAATAGATCTGACCAAATCTGCACTGACCACAGAGCAAAAAGGGCAACTAGTCGGCATTATTCGACAACACTCGAAGGCATTTGTTGGACCAGACGGCCACTTAGGCCATTATAATGGACCTATTCGACACCGCATAGATCTGATAGACAATGCTCCTATACCAACCAGAAAGATCTATCGCGTTCCTCTCGAGAAGAGACTCGAGATAGAACAACAGATCACTCAAATGCTCAAAGATGGTATTATACGCGAATCGGCATCTCCCTTCTGCGCCCCTATAGTTCTAGTGCGCAAGAGAGATGCAACTTCATGGAGATTTACCATCGACTTCAGAGGATTAAATGCGATAACGAAGCCACAACAATCCATACTCCCGAACATCCAAGACATAATTGACTTATGCGCAAATAACTGCTTATATTCATCCCTCGACTTCCAGCAGGGTTTCCACCAAATCCCATTAGAAGAATCCCACTGTGAAAGGACCGCCTTTGCATGCTTCCTTGGGGCATTTGAATACATACGAATGCCCATGGGACTAAAAGGAGCCCCTGCCACTTTCCAACGGATTATGGATGACTTCAAGAAACATCTTAGAGCCCGCGTGTTTATCTACATCGACGACCTGATAATCACTTCAGAAACTCCTGATGAGCATCTCCTAGACATCGACGAAGTACTATCAAAAATCGAATTGATAGGAATGAAGCTCAAGGCATCAAAATGTGAATTTGCACGCAAGGAAATCAAGTTCCTAGGATTTGTACTTAGCAAAGATGGTATAAAGCCAAACCCGGAAAAGACCAAAGCAATCGACGATTACCCAACTCCAAAGAACCCCACTGAAATCAAAGCGTTCTTAGGCATGTGCTCTTTCTTCCGCCGATTTGTGCACAACTTCGCCGCCATCGCTGCACCCCTAACCGGCCTGACTAAGAAAGACACGCCTTTCATATGGACGATCGAATGTGAAAACGCTATGAAACGGCTCAAGGAAGCACTCACTACCGCTCCAATACTTGTGGCCCCCAGGCTAGGATTGCCTTTCGTCATTGAGACCGATAGCTCCGGGAAAGCAGTAGCTGGAGTTCTGAAACAAGAACAAGATAACGACCTGAAAGTAATCGCTTATGCCAGTCGAACTCTCAATGTGCATGAATCTCGCTACCCCGCCATCGAGTTAGAAGCGCTTGGAGTGGTATTTGCAGTGCAAAAGTTTCGCCCTTACATCGACGGCGCAAAGTGCACTGTAATTACAGACCATGCTCCCCTCAAAGCTCTTCTACATCGAAAAGATCTAACCGGAAGACTAGCGAAATATCAGATAATCCTACAGGAATTCGACATAACCATTATGTACAGACCAGGAAAAGCGAATGTCGTTTGCGACACTCTCTCCAGACATCCTCCGCAAGTAAATGCGGTACCCACCGAAAGCAATAACAACATTGACCTTTCGTCACCAGACATTATGGATAAAATCAGGGAAGAACAAAACAAAACCCCTTGGATAGCATCTTACAAACAAGCTATAGAACAGAATGAGCCAAATCCATACACCCGCGACTACATTCTGTTGAACGAAATCCTGTATAAGTTACCGGAAAAGGTCTACCAGGATCCGCAAATAGTTCTCCCCGAAGACTCCAACATCAAAAATGCGCTCATCAAGCAGGTTCACGAATCTCGTTTTGGCACTGCACATCTAGGTATACAGAAAACGAGAGCAGCCATAAGCAGAATAGCCATATGGAACAGAATGTCAAGTGATATTAGCGACTTCATAAGATCTTGCACCATCTGCCAGCTACGGAAAGACCCCTCCGTCTACCGTACCAATGAACCGCTAGAGCGATTTGAAATACCCAGACGACCTTTTCAACGCGTTCATTCCGATGTAATCGGACCCCTTCCACTAACCTTACAAGGAAATAAATTTATAATAGTCTTCGTAGATGCGTTCTCCAAACTAGTTATTGCTGAGCCCATACCAGATCAGAAGGCCATCACCACAGCAAATGTGTTCGTTCACCGAGTAGTGAGTCGTTTTGGACCACCAGAAACACTGGTCACGGACCAAGGCTCAAACTTCATGAGTGACGTCTTCCGAAACACCCTCAAGATCCTTAACGTCTCCCATAAAACCAGCACTCCTTACCATCATGAAAGCAACGGCCAAGTTGAACGCGCGAACAAAACGATAGAAGAGCTCATCTCTACTGCGGTCACTCAAAAAGAAGACCAGTGGGATGACATCATCCATTTGATGACACATGCGTACAACACCGCAGAAAACGCGTCTACAAAATACACACCGTTCTTCATCATACACGGCCGAGAAGCCAACAACGCTTTTCGCTTAGCGCTACAACTCCCTTCCAAGACCTATGTTAGCGAAGACGACTACGTCGACCAATTAACATCAACTCTACAAAACGTTTGGAAGGAAGTTGAACATAACTTAACCGTCACCCAAGACATACAAAAACACCATTATGACCTAAGGAAAAGGGTTAGCCCAGGTAGTTTCCAAGTAGGTCAAAAAGTGTTGATTAGAAAAGACGTGGATTCAAAAATTGCGCCCAAGTTCGAAGGCCCTTTCCCAATTATTGATATTGAGCGTCCCAATGTAACTGTCCAAGACGGACGCCGTCTCCGTACAATTCACATGAACCGTTTGAAGCCATATAACGCTGCAACTCCTTGAATAGGAACCCAACGATGGGACTAGTAATCAACATAGAGTAATTAACAAGGAAACAACCATTCAAAATTCTCTGAAATAGTAACCCCATAACTTAGCCTATAGCAATTAGCAATACCAAAAGCAGAGCATAGTAATAGTAAAAAAAAAAGAAAAAAAAACATAAAAATAGACTAGGAATAGTGCTCAACGCTGCCATCCACATTTTGAGCATACCGTTACATTTTGATTGTAGCGTAGTCGCTACCCGAGCTAATTCAACGCGGCAAGGACCACCACCAGCACATATGTTAAATACAAAGCGTGAGGAGCAACCGCCGAAGCATTTCAGATGCCCTCATCACTCAACAACGATGATTCAAAGCTCTCAGAGCGAAAGAGGTCGCACAGCTCCTCGTCCGAAGCATCGCAGGAGGATAATGACCGCTCTCCATCCCCCGCGTGGTCAATCAGTTCGGTCATGGAGAGGAGGGACAGGCTCACTACCCAGTGGATCCGAAACCCATCCCCACCTTTGTAGGAAAAGCGCAAAATTCATCGAAGCGCCAGTCGGCCATCGACCGCCCGCCCCATCTTATCCGCCCGCGAAGAGGGTATAAAAAGAAATAAACCCCGCCCTCTCGAGCTCGCTCGTAGTTCAACACGCCAGCTCCGGCTGGCCTCACAACCATCATGCTGAGGTGAGCCTCCACCCCCCCCCCCCCTTATTCATTTACTTCCCTTTCTTTTAACTGTTCTCTCCATTCTTGTATCATCACTCTGTAATATAATCTCCGTGTCTCCTTTGTATTATCAGTTGATATATTCCAATATGTCTCTCTTGTATTTCGTGCCCTTTGCACCATGTCATGTTTATGTAATGATAAAATCTTAGTAATTACTTGTGTGCTATAGAGAGAAGGAGTCACTTAAAGAGAGGTCATATATGTAAGCGTTACTGGACAAAGTCGTCTGAACAAACAGAAATCTTTTATTTTATTACAAGGGTACATCACGGATTTGCCCGAAACTTGGCCCAGAGGGGTTATTCGGCCTGCTGATGCCAAATACCACATTGTTTATGAACCGTAGCGTCATTTTCCCGGGTTACGGTAGCTACACGGTAATGGGTGTAAAACATAATCATTTCTGCCTGAAACGGCGACTGGACGCTCGTGAAGCTTTGCACACACGACCACCACCGCGCGCTACACACCCTGCTGCGGCTTTTATCTAAGCAAAGCACAGGGGAAAGATACATTTGCCGATGATTTTGACCCCTACCGTAAGCCTACCGTAACCATGCAGGGAGACGTTTTCGTGCGGAAAAAAGGTGTCATTTCTAATCAGCATGTCGAATAACCCCTCTGGCGAAGTTACAGCGGCTTTTTGAGATTCTGGCCCTCTACCATATACCCACCGTGACCCGAAATGACGTTACGGTACAGAGCCAATGTGATATTTAGCATCAGCGGGCCGAATAACCCCTCTGGGCCAAGTTTCGGGCAAATCCGTGATTTTGACCCGCTACCGTAATCCTACAGTAACTCCATCGGATGGCGCTGTCGCACGAAAAAAACATCATATTCGTGTTCAGCCTACCAAATAACCTTCCTAGACGAAGTTTTAGCGAAATTCACGGTTTTCATTTTTTGGGTCAATTAATGTGGAATAGCGCCCTTTTTTTCTGGCCACTCCCCTTACTTGTTCGGGGATGTTCTGGGAAATTTGGCGACTCAGTGCCTGGAAAGAGCAAACCGAGAAGAGGACGCTGCGAAGGCACTTTGATGTAAGAAAAGTCCGAGATGACGCGCATTGTGTACATTGCGTGCAGTTGCACAGATTTGCAATATGTATGACGATACTATCTAGATATTTTTAACCTGCATCACTATTTTGATGTGTACAGCACATGAAAATTGAGGAAATGCTCAAAATCCATCCGAGAGGGGTAGTATACTGATCACGATTATAATACTGTTTTGTCTATCCCGTAACCACCGTTATGCGAATATCTTCGATGGCTTGTTTCATGCTTTTAGTTACACTAAAGAGTTGAATCGCTTTTGTTAGCTTGAAAATGAGTCGCGAAAAATACGTTAAAATGTATGAAAATTGTTTCAAAGTTGAATCTTCGGTGATTTACCTTACTTGAACAAGCGAGATCAATTTTGGGTAATACAATGCTGGCCAAAACTATAGATCCAATATAAAAAACTGCCGTAGTTCATCTGATTCTCAACGAATTGATCTAAGATTTGTACAGCTGTGTGTTCAATAGGCTTCCATCAGTGACCGGAGCGGATGCCGCTTTCGTTGGATTATTCAGGAAAAACAAAAATTTCGAAAAAAGCAGGTTCGAAGGTTGGTCAAAACTATAGATCCACCTAAAATTTCTGTCTGCTAAAGTAACTCTCGGCTTCCAAAGTTTTTTGTACATATACATAGTCGAAAGTCAAAGCAGTGGCTTTGGTTAAGCTGTACAATACCTTTATGAGAAACGCTTACCGGTTTTTTTTCCACTTAAAAAATACTTTTATGCGTATTTTATTCCCGACAATGTGTTTTTGTAGAGGATTCCGCACTTTCTTGACTGGTTTGAAAGTGATAGGGTTCCATCTCTCTTATAGATGCTTAGTAGTGTGAGCAGTAGAAAAAAATTCGAGTTTTCGTATCCAAAGCGCACCCGACATAGAACTAACCGCAGGCCTGCGTTCAAATTTATGCCTTCAAAATTGGTATACGCTATTTTTGTAAGCTCAAAAGCTTAAAAGCTCTCTTTTTTCAAAATAATGTAGGAGCATCTTTTAGCATTATTCACATGATAAGAAGTTTGTAAACTATAGTCACGATTGTTTGCGAAGTCGCACTTTGATTCTTTTTTAAAGCATAAGTCTTGCGGTGTGTTCGGCAATCTCAAAGTACTTACCAAGTGGTACCTTCTTTGAACTTTGCCACTATTTAGCTGCTAACTAGTGAATACACCCTGCCTTGTATGTTGCCTTGTGCCTCACATAATCATTATGGTCAGTACCAGAAATAACTTCAAGGCTTGTTGCAAATCACTTTTTGCGGGATTGAAGTCCTCAGCTAGCCTACATACTAGAATCTGCACAAATCTGCAACCACTGCATACGGACTCTCATACATACTAACAATGTCATTACTCCAGTTAACACTCATGACAACATTGCAGAAAGAGTTTGAAGGCATAAATTTGAACGCAGGCCTGCGGTTAGTTCTATGTCGGGTGCGCTTTGGATACGAAAACTCGAATTTTTTTCTACTGCTCACACTACTAAGCATCTATAAGATAGATGGAACCCTATCACTTTCAAACCAGTCAAAAAAGTGCGGATTCCTCTATAAAAACACATTCTCGGGAACAAAATACGCATAAAAGTGTTTTTTAAGTGAAAAAAAGCAGATAAGCGTTTCTTATAAAGGTATTGCACAGCTTAACTAAAGCCACTGCTTGGGCTTTCGACTATGTATATGCACAAAAGACTTTGGAAGCCGAGAAACTTTAGCAGACAGAAATTTTAGGTGGATCTATAGTTTTGGCCAGCCTTCGAACCTGCTTTTTTCGAAAAAATGATCTTTTTCCTGAATAATCTAACGAAAGCAGTATCCGCTCCTGTCACTGATGGAAGCCTGTCGAACAGACAGCTGTACCAAATCTTACATCAATTCGTTGAGAAGCAGATGAACTACGGCAGTTTTTTATAGTGGATCTATAGTTTTGGCCAGCACTGTAATAG